ATTTAGTCACTCTTATGAGTTTAATTTTATATGAGTTTAGGTAATAATCCCTGGTTAATTATGTGGATGGGTTTGAGACAGTAAAATTGGTTTAACAGTCTAACAAGTAGGGCTCTTTAATTTGCATAAATTTTGATTTCAAGGTAAAGGTGGTACTTGATTATTTTGAGTTTTGATTCTATGATGAAGTTAAATTGAAAACCATAAAGTTCTTTTTTTTTGTTTTTGTTTTGAAGAAGTTAGTCCCTCGTAACGTCTTGAATTAAATTTTAAATTTTTGCTGGGAGATGTACTTATATCTGATACTCAGTGTCTTGAATAAAATTATCTCTAATAAAAAAATACTCCCTCTGTTCCTTATTATAAGAGACGAATAACTGAATTACGTTAATAAAAAAAACAGTTAAAATTAGTTAAGAACAATCAATGTGTAAAAAGTATAATTTTTTTTCCAAAATACCCTCATTAATAAGGAGAAAGAACATGAGAGAGAACAATGATAAATTATTAAAAGAAAGAGAAATGGGAAGGAGAGAGAGTATGAGTTGGAGACAATAAATATGGGTAAAATAGAAAATCAACACAAAAAGTAGAGACAACTTTTAAGTGTCTTTTATATATAGGAACATATTATAAGCATCAAATGTCTCTTATAATAAGGAACGGAAGGAGTACCTAAAACTCATATATTGATAAGAATACATTGGAAAATGATAATAACACCTTTCTAAGCCCTTAGGTGTTAATTATATAATCTTCTGGTCCTATTTACAAGGCAAAAAGTGAAGATATTTTTGGATCCTATGTATAGAGTATTGAAAGAAATTTTTTGTACTAACGTACAATTTTACTCTTCATTTATTATTATCTTGACTTTATTTATATGAGGTATAATATATATTAAATAGAGATAAAGTTAAAAAGTCATTAAATTTTAAATAAGAATTATTAAAATTTAATTTTTTTAATCCGTATAAAACATATTAAAAGTGATTTATAAATAAGATTAGAGGAGTATATCTATGAGCTCCAATCTCATAACTCCCTGGCTCTAGTTATTTACAAAAAAAAAAAAAATCTTAATTAAATATCTGCGTACTCTTTTTGTCCTCTTTACGGGGAGATTTTCTCGGGCAATGAACAAAAATTTCCCAGAACATAAATTTTTTTCTCCTGCTGTTGACCAGCTGTCAATTATTGATTGACACACAGTATCCCACTTTTTTGGACCAATTAGAAAGCTGACCCATTATATTCTGGTGTACATTTTTTTAAATAGTGTTTGTTCAATGCTCCAGTTTTGGGAATCTCACTCGTCCTTCTTTCCCCCTCTTAACCATTCGAATAGAAAATTCATAAGTAACTACTATGTCCTTTAAGCGAATTAATGGATAAGGACGCTGACCGAAAAAAGAAAAAGAAAAAAGAATAAGGACATAAAGTACGAGCACTTTAATCCCTAGTTTTTTGGACCTCCACGTGATGCAGCTGGAAACGTTATCAAAATTGTTAAGGGGAAAAAAGAAATCATCCTCAGATGTTAAATGTTACCTTGATAAAACATTTCCAATACTAGCTGTTGCACATAATCATCATTTAATATTAAAAATAAAACATATTTTTTAAATTAAGAGATCAAATTAAAATTTTATATAATATATTTTTTACATCATTCTATTAGAGACAATTCTATTTGAGACATTATCATGTACTCCCTCCGTTCCTTATTATAAGAGACATTTGATGCTTATAGTATGTTCCTAAATATAAGAGACACTTAAAAGTTGTCTCTACTTTTTTGTGTTAATTTCCTATTTTACCCATATTTATTGTCTCCAACTCACACTCTCTCTCCTTTCCACTTCTCTTTCTTTTAAGAATTTACTATTGTTCTCTCTCATGCTCTCTCTCCTTATTAATGAGGGCATTTTTGGAAAAAAAAATTATACTTTTTGCACATTAATTGTTCTTAACTAATTTTAACTGTTTTTTTGATCAACGCAATTCGGTTATTCGTCTCTTATAATAAGGAACGGAGGGAGTACTAATATGAATACATCTCCCAGTACGAGTTCAAACCTTAGTTTGACATATTATAAAGAACTAGCCCTTTCTGTTAGATTTAACTCCTATTAGTAAAACTTACATAAAATTAAATGACGAAATATATATTTTAGTCCTGATAACAATAACAATAATAATAATTGATATTCATTTCTCTAGAGAATCGTTGTAGAAGAAAGGTAAAATAAAATCAACGAATACTTTGACCATTGACCCACACACACCCATATATATATTTTATATATATATCATGCTTGAAATTATTTCTCAGAAACTTAATGTAAATTATCCCTCACACATGGTATTCGCCTTCCCCATTTTTTATTTTTCCAACATGTTGTTTCTGTTTTTTTTCTCAAAAAGAATGTTGTCGCTTAATTGAGGCTGACTTGAGCAAATTCAATCCCATATTTCTTCCTATATATATATATATATATATATATATATTATCTTTGGTAGTTACAACTCTTTATTTTATTCCTATATGAAATTTATTACTCCCTCCGTTCCTTATTATAAGAGACACTTGATGCTTATGCCATGTTCCTATATATAAGAGACACTTACAAGTTGTCTCTACTTTTTTGTGTTGATTTACTATTTTACTCATATTTATTATCTCCAACTCACACTCTCTCTCCCTCCCACTTCTCTTTCTTTTAATAATTTAATTGTTCTCTCTCATGCTCTCTCTCCTTATTAATGAGGGTATTTTTGGAAAAAAAATTATACTTTTTATACATTAATTGTTCTTAACTAACTTTAACTGTTTTTTTGATCAACGTACTTCGGTTATTTGTCTCTTATAATAAGGAACGGAGGGAGTACTAATTATTCCTTTCTTTCAACTTGTTAGCGCTGGCCCAAAAAAACAAAAAACTTGTTAGCGGATAAGGGACAACACTTTTTTCTTGGTCAAATGGTTACTTTCTTTTTAATTTAGTTTTCTCTTTTGGAAGGCAAATTTAAATATTAACATATTTAAATAGCCAAATAGGTTGTTGGGACAATATATTTTAACTTAAAAGCATGGACCCATGAATTTACTTAGAAAAATATTAAGCTCATTCCATTCATCAAAACATTTATAGTATACTACTCCGGTCCTTATTAAGTTGTTATAAGTTATTTTAAGGACCAATTTAAATAAAATAAACACACTGCAAAGAAGTAAATTAATTCAGATTTTCAGTATTCGAAGATAATCACAAGAATTTTATATCATATTTTTGAGAGAAAAATTCTACTCTTTTTGATCCTAAATACTAAAACTAGTTGGTATATTTGTTTTGATTTTAAATATAAAATCTTAATTTATTTTATCTCCAGATTAATAATTTTTTTCCCTAAACTATCGAATGGATTGTATATGCCAAAGAAAGTTTCCATCTGCAGGGCAACGTAATAAAAATATTTTAAAAAAAATCAACACATCTATCATAAATAATTAATTTTTTATAATAATAAGTTAATTATCTAACTCCTATATTTAGGATGAAAACATAAATAAAAAATTTATGGGATTTATTCCAAAAATATATCTTGACAGGCCGGATTATCTGATTGAAAAATTAGAAAACATCCCAATTAAACAAAATAATCGAGTAATATTATATCTCGGCTGACTTAGTCAATTAATTGAAATAATCACCCAATTAAATATAATATAAATTAAATAAGTGATTTAATTTATAATATTCAGATAATATATAAGTTTATAATATCCAATGGATTAAATCAGAATTAAACCTAAAATAAATTGATATGATGAGAACTCAATCATAATCAAATTAAGTCGGCTTCTCGAGAATGGGGCGCGACCCCAAGTCCAATATTTTGATAATATGCTTATTGAAACTTATAAGTCAAAAAAGGCTACTCATTTTGGGTTGTGTACACACATCTTGTTCCCACATGCATGCCGCGTCATAATTTTTAACGACGGAGCGCATTAGCTTAAAAGCGGCTGTCGGCAGAAGACACCCCGGCTAAACAGCACAGATTCAGCACTCACGATGAGCACATTATTGGGTAAAATCTACACCATTAAAATATAGTTTTAAGAGATTGTATTTATTTTGAATTTTTTATCTATTAAAAAAATATTTTTAAAGATAAAAATTTTAAAAATTTAAATTTTGGCTGCCCATACTAAATTTGTATGGTTAGGATAGGATGAGCGTCCTCCCTGGTTGACAGCAAAACGAATGCTTATCTGTTGGGATATTTGGTCTTTCAGGTGTCTTAAAATTTTTAATGAGCATAAAACCAATCACAGGAAAGAAGCAAATGGTAACAGATGGGTTTGTGGGTTTAGCTGTAAACTCATGAGTACCCAAGTCATTGCCGACATCTTTGGCTTTTACCAGAGTCTTAAAAAGATCTATCTGTATTCAGACTGTATTGTAGCAATTAATTTGGCTCCCAGAGGTTATGATGATAACGACCTTTTAATGGATGAACCTTAGACACCTAATGAATAGGGATTGGCAAGTCAAGTTTTGTAGAGAATTTAACTCCCTCGTTGATCATTTAGGGAAACTTTCTGGTAGGCTAGATATGGGATTTAGCGTGGCTTGTAATTTCAGCTTTTGATTAAAAAAAAAAAAACGAATGCTTTGTATTCTAATGAGAAAATCACATTCTTTGACGGGCAAAAATTTACACTTAATCCCAACCAAATACATCTATATGAATTGAAGAAATATTAAATATGTACTATATATTAAAAAATAATAATTATCTCATTTTTATTTTTAAGTCACAAAATATTTATTAACTGTTTATTGCCATTTGTAATGGCAATTCTTTACTGTATTTTTAATTTTATTGTTGTTTTATATTTTATTTTTATTTCAATTTTTCATATTTAAGGCCCTGTGCTTGTCATAGTAGTGCTTTTATTGAGAGCTAGTCAATTGAAAATGGCAACTTATGGAAGGTCTGTGACTAGAAAGGCTAAGAGCAAAAAGCTAAATGAAGTACTACCTCTGATTCTAATTATAAGATTTTATTTGCAGTTTACAAACAAAGTCTTATAGGAGGTAGTACTATTTATGATTCTCTTAATGACTTGTAGGAGTTGCATTCATCTTATTTTTAAAAAAATTACAAAAAAAATCTTGAAAATTAAAAAATTATATACAAGGACCTGTTCATAAAATTGTTGTCGTTTGCTTATCAATTATTGTCAAAACCAATATTAATATTGTATTGGGTCTCTATTTATAATTTTTTTTATTTTCAAGGCCTTTTTTGTGATTGTCCCTTCATCTTTTAATAATTTTTTTAAAACTTAAATGCTATTCCACGCAACAAAAAGGAGAATCCCATTTGCAAAAGGAAGTGACGTTCAAAGGATGCTTCTCCATATGACTTGTTGGCTGTTCCGATATCTTTTTACATGGGAATTTATTGTCATTTTAGTGCTGAATGAATCATTGTCTCTCTTTTCTGCGTCGATCCTACCTATAGCACGCGTTAATATGTAAGTAAAAGTTTAGACGTGAAATTTATAAATAAAAACAAAGTATATTATTTTAAAATTAACCGTCGAAACCTATTCTTTTCTGACAATATAACTTGCAAAAAAAAAAATTCAAATAATCATCGAACGAAGAAACTCATGCAGAATGCAGATGATCGATAGTTACAAATAAAATTCAAATTAATTACACATAGCAATGCATAATATTTTCACAATAAAAATAATATCAGTACGTACTACGTAGTAAAAGATTTCTTAATATACAGACATTTATATGAATAATTTGTCGTACCTATGAATCTGAATCTGAAGTCATAATTGTTGGAACCTACTTTCGACGCAAAGTGGGACGAGAAGAGACACGCAACTTCATTGGGAACCTGCCTGCGAAACTTCGTAGTTTAAACTTCAAACGCTTCTTCCTTGTTTTGTTACGGCAAATCCAGAGACTCTAGTATCAAACACTGTTCCGCGTGTAATATTTATTTATTTGCCCCAAAAGCTATTTGCAATGAATTCTTCATGTCGACGTGACTTCGCCTTCAGGGAAACTTATTGCCTGTGTATAAATATATCATCATCCCATTGTATGTCATATATATCCACACCCTCTATTAAGCTTTCACTTTTTCAGCCTACTCTGCATTCCAAATTCTGTGCTATCTCTCCTTCTATTCTTCAGGTCCGGAAACTCTCCTGTCTTCATATTTCATATATACAGTTTTATAGATACATATAATATTACTTCTTTTGTTCATATATATATATATATTTCATATATAGCATCCATAAATATGGTCTTATAGATACACACACGAACACACACTATTAAGCCTTCAAGAAGTTTTCTGCATATCCACCAAGCTGCTATTCATTCTTCAGTTTCAGAAACGTTACACTTTGCATTCCTCTATTTCATTGCCACACACACACACACACACACACACAGAGCCTGAGACGTCATGCCTTATATACACATATATATGCATATATATTATTAAGCTTCCAGATAGCCTCATAATAGCTCACTGCCCATACAAGTTTCTGAGTTTCTGCCAATCAAAACAAACATGTCGAAGGCATTTTTGCCAGATATGGAGACAATACAGACACTTCTGCATGCCCCAAAGAATCTTAGCAAACCCAACAAAAAATGGCGCTCCGCATTCGTTAGTATATATTGTTACAGAGCTCTCTTGTCTCACTTCAAATCCACTTTGCTTCCCTCCCGTACCACCATCAAGAACAAGCCTAACCTGTCACCTTCTTCCTCCTATACTGTTATCGATTTAGACACAGATTATTCCTTCTTCAGTGTTAGCCAAACCACACTCACCAATCTCGTGAAGGAGAAAAATGAAGAGACCCTGCAAAATCTTGGTGGGGTGCATGGCGTGGTCTCCGCTCTAAAAACCGACATTGAAAATGGAGTCAAAGGCGGTGGTGATGATGATGATCCCAGTGACGTCATGCGACGGCGCGACGCATTTGGATCTAACACCTATCCCAAACCACCTACGAGAGGTTTCTTTCATTTTGTTAGTGAGGGCTTCAAGGACCCCACCATTCTCATTCTCTTGGTTTGCGCTGCTCTGTCTCTTGGCTTCGGCATCAAAGAGAATGGAATCAAAGAAGGCTGGTACGAAGGTGGAAGCATCTTCGTTGCTGTTTTTCTAGTCATTGCTGTATCTTCCATCAGTAACTTCAGACAGAGCAGACAATTCGACAAGCTGTCCCAGGTTAGCAATAACATCCAAGTAGATGTTGTACGAAGTGGTCGCCGGCAACAAGTTTCCATTTACGACATCGTGGTGGGTGACGTCGTGTGGCTGAAGATCGGAGACCAAGTTCCTGCAGATGGCTTGCTCCTGGAAGGCCATTCTCTGCAAGTTGATGAGTCTAGCATGACAGGTGAGAGCGACCACGTAGAGATTAACGGCGACAAAAACCCATTTTTGTTTTCTGGGACTAAGGTGGCTGACGGGTTTGCTAAAATGCTCGCCACTTCTGTCGGTACGAACACAACATGGGGTCAAATGATGGGTTCCATAAGCAGAGACAACAATGAAGAAACTCCTCTGCAAGAACGCCTCAATCAGCTTACTTCTGCCATTGGCAAAGTTGGCTTGGCAGTGGCTTTTCTTGTTCTTGTTGTTATGTTAGTTCGCTACTTCACAGGGAACACAACTGATGAGAATGGGAATAAGGAGTTCAAGGGAAGCAGCACCAAGTTTGATGACATAATGAATGGAGTTGTGGGAATTGTTGCTGCTGGCGTTACTATTGTCGTGGTCGCGATTCCAGAAGGGCTTCCATTGGCTGTGACATTGACGCTTGCTTATTCCATGAAGAAGATGATGGCTGATATGGCTATGGTGAGGAAGCTCTCTGCCTGCGAGACAATGGGGTCGGCCACAACCATTTGCACTGATAAGACTGGCACACTCACGCTTAATGAGATGAAAGTGACGAAGTTCTGGCTTGGACAGCAACCTATGGAAGAGGAACCTTATCAATCATCAGTTCATTCGGATGTCCAACAACTAATCAAAGAAGGGGTTGCCTTTAACACCACAGGTAGTGTTTACAAGTCTAAAACAAAAAATTCCGAATATGAATTTTCAGGTAGTCCAACAGAAAAAGCCATTCTTTCATGGGCTGTTCTTGATTTGGGCATGAACATGGAGGAATTAACGCAAAGTTTTACCATCCTTCATGTGGAGGCCTTCAATTCAAAGAAGAAGATGAGTGGGGTTTTGATTAAAAGGAAGGCAGACAACAAAATCCATGCACATTGGAAAGGAGCAGCTGAGATGGTGCTCAGGTTGTGTTCAAAGTACTACGATGCTTCTGGCAATATGAAAGAACTTGATGACGACAAAAAGCTAGTCTTTGAGCAAATCATTCAAGGGATGGCGGCCAGCAGCCTTCGGTGTATTGCTTTTGCACAAACAGAAGTAGCTGAAGAAGATGATAGAGGAATCAAAGATATAAGAGAAGAAGGGCTCACCCTCTTAGGACTTATTGGTATTAAGGATCCATGTCGTCCAGGAGTCAAGAACGCTGTAAACAATTGCCAACAAGCTGGAGTGAATGTCAAAATGATCACAGGGGACAATATTTTCACAGCCAAAGCCATAGCTACAGAATGCGGCATCCTCCATCCTAATCAAGACACATCTGAAGCAGTCATCGAAGGTGAGGTATTTCGAAACTTGTCTGTCGAGGAAAGACTAAACAAAGTGGAGAAAATTTGTGTGATGGCAAGATCCTCCCCCTTTGACAAGCTCCTAATGGTTCAATGCCTCAAACAGAAAGGTCACGTCGTTGCCGTCACAGGAGATGGCACCAATGATGCTCCAGCATTAAAGGAAGCTGATATAGGACTTTCTATGGGGATTCAAGGCACTGAAGTTGCAAAGGAAAGCTCAGACATTGTTATCTTGGATGATAATTTCACCTCAGTTGCCACAGTTCTTAAATGGGGAAGATGTGTTTATAACAACATCCAAAAGTTTATTCAATTTCAGCTTACAGTAAATGTTGCAGCTCTTGCAATTAACTTTGTGGCTGCAATATCAGCAGGAGAAGTGCCATTAACCGCAGTCCAGCTATTGTGGGTGAACCTAATAATGGACACTTTGGGTGCTCTAGCTTTAGCAACAGAGAAGCCTACGAGGGAGTTATTGGACAAACCCCCAGTGGGTAGAAGTGAGCCTCTCATCACTAATATCATGTGGAGAAATCTCTTAGCCCAAGCTTTATACCAGATCACAATTCTATTGACATTACAGTTCAAGGGTGAGGCCATATTCGGGGTGAGTTCAAAGGTAAATGACACTTTGATTTTCAACACATTTGTGTTATGCCAAGTGTTCAATGAGTTTAATGCAAGGAAGTTGGAGAAGAAGAATGTGTTCCAAGGGATTCAAAAGAACAGGTTGTTTTTGGGAATCATAGGGATAACTATTGTGCTTCAGGTGTTGATGGTGGAGTTTCTTAAGAAATTTGCAGACACTGAAAGATTGAATTGGGGGCAATGGGGTGCATGCATTCTAATTGCAGCTATTTCTTGGCCTATCGGTTGGGTCGTCAAGTTCATTCCCGTCCCAGAGAGACCACTGCTTAGTTTCTTGAACCTGAAAAAGCAATGAATACTTTCTAGTAGATGATTATGATGGTATAGTGATGGGTCAGGTCCCTTTGAGGTACAAAAACACAGTGCACATTTAAATACTTCCAGAGGGGGATCATATCCAACTCTTTGCGGTTAGACACGACAGAAATAACTGGTTTGCACTGTCATAACTTTAAATATAATAAACTTTTATTGTACTTTTGCTTTAATTTGTGGTGGGAGGAAATTAAATGGCACTTTCAATGCCAGGGAATTGAATTCTTTGTTTGGGCGCTGGGCTACTGCCAACTTTCTTCTGTTTCCTACCCCTTTCCTCCATTCATCATGTGCAACTTGAGCTTAAAATAATACTACTGCCCACTCCTCTTACCTTTATTCTGTTGCCTTTATTTATTTAATATTACATTACACATAAACCTTGACATCCATATCCATTCTTTTCGGAAGCTGTAGTTTCCACCCTAATATTTCATGTGCACACTGCCAGAAAAATGGCTTTTAACGGCGGTTAATTGAGGCTTTTAACGGCGGTTTTGGAGGCAGAGTAAAAAGAGTCGACGTTGAAAGTATAAGAAAACACGGCGGTTATTAACCGTTGTGGAAAATTAACTTTCAACGGAGGTTCTATATTAAAACCGCCGTTGAAAATAAACTTTCCACGGCGGTTCTATATTAAAACCGCCGTGGAAAATCAATTTTTTCACAGCGGTTTATTAGTAAACCGCCATTGTAAATTATTTTCCACGGCAGTTTTAGGATAGAGCCGCCGTGGAAATTATATTTAACGGCGGTTTTCCATAAAACCGCCGTTAAATGTTATATTTTTTTTTTTCATTCATCTATTTATATTTTACCACCTCCCTACCTAAATCGGTACACATTTATGCAGCACCATTTGAAGATTACCAGACGTTACCAAGCATTATCTCAATAAAACTATTTGAATATTACCATATATGAACATCAACTATAGTTTAACAATCAAAAAATGAACCACTACGTGAGGAAGCTAAGAGACCTTAGTACTTGACATTTTAAAGATTTTCATAACAACGTGGTTGACAAAGAGTCTCTTATCAAGTTGATCTCATCCATGCTATATGGCATAACATTTTCGAATGCCTGTAAATCAAAAATGGATTCATTAGTCAACTTGATTAAAAACGTGGAAAAATGAGCAGAATTACATGCAACATAAGTTATATTTAATTACCTCGTGCAATTTTTCAGTTACCCTTGTCTCAATAATGTCATTGATATAACAGATGACATAATATCCGCATTCAACTTTCCCAGATTGACAACGATACTGAAAAAATAAAAAATTTATAAGCATTATCTAATTTGATGATTGAAAAGATTTATAACTACATATTTAGCTCAAAACAACATACTTGTGGGAGAAACCATGTTGGTGATTGCATATTTTGATGCCTGGTCATAAAATTGAAAGTGTGAAAAGCCCTATGAACATGAATATTAGAACATTAGAACACATTTTTATAAACTTTATATGTAATAAATATATAGACATAAAACTAACGTGTCAATGACATCTCTGGTTTCTTCGGTTAGACTTCCACAGAGGGAATCGAACCAGTAGACTTTGTTATCAAAAGGGGCGCAAACAATTAGTGTCCAATGATAACTGCAAAATACGAACCATGTTAATTATAATCCTACATATATAACAAGTGTATCTCAAATATAATAATATACTTACTTTTTCACGTAAGGTACAAAATATATTTTCTTTTTCAACTGAGTCATTGCGGTCATCATGTAGATCGACCTGGCTTCCACAGTATTGGCTATTTTTTGTACCTTTTGAGGACACATAAAGCCATATGTGTCCTCAAGTCCTGCCTGCCTACAGACTCCAACAAAATGCCTGTTGTTCAAATAAGAAATATTAGAATATGCATAAGTAAAATATAAAAAATTAGTTTAGTTATTGTAACTTACAAAATAGCAAGCTGCATAAAGACTATATCTAACTCCTCAAAGTTCAGGAACTGAATGAGGTCCTTCTTGTCAATAGTGAACTGGTATGTGACATCTGAACCCACAATTCCCGGCGGCATATTATAAGTAAGAGAGTTTTCCATATTTGTTACCATGCTATGAAGAAGCTCCAAACTCCCATACATAACCCCTATATCAGCAGGAAGAGGCAGCAGGACAGGTTCTGAAGCACTACTTGTCGTCTTCTTCGTTGTCGCCTTCTTTGATGTCGCCTTCTTTGATGGTGCAAGCTTTCCAATAAGTCGTTTTGGCCACAGAATGAAATTTCCTTTAGCCTGAACCAGTAGGCGAACCTCATCAGTAGGGATGGGCATTGGTGTATCACCTTGACCGCTACGGATTTTATCTACCGTCACCCTCGATTGATCTACTGGAACTTTCTTCCCGTGGATGGTTGAGCCCGAGAATACTCGGCCATTAGCAACATGAAATGTTGAATCTCCATTAACGTCGACATAGAGAGAACACGGTGTTCCATTGTCTTGGACAGGGTCAGGGCTAGGGTCAGGGTCAGATAATGTCAGCTGTTGTGTCTGATTATTACTACCCTTCCCACTTTTCATCATAGGTGAACCCTGAAATATAAGAAGAAATTACTTAAGGCACATTATATAAGTTTAAATTGACGAAATGAACCTTTATTACCTGTGACGGCTCAGACACTCGAGGCATCTGGAATCCGGTCGTGCCCATCATCATTGCAAACTTGGCATAAAACTCCTCAAGCATCTTTTGCATCTCTGCCTTGTGTTCTTCACTGAGTTGAACTCGAACTCTTTCTGTTTCTTCTTGTAATCGTCGATCGAGTTCCTCTTTAGATACCATGTCAGCGGAGGATGATCCAGTACTTTTTTGAGAACCAGGACCAAAAAATTGTTTGATACCAATTCCTTTAGGGGCCCCTCTGACTCTGCCGGGATGGTCAGCCTTTCCAATGGCAGTGGCCAAGATGTCCATCCGCCCATGAGGAACAAATGTACCTTGGGATAATTGCTCCTCAAGTGTATCCTGTAACATTAAAATAACAATTTCAATTTAACATAATTAAAAAAAAAATGAATGAAGCATAATGCTAATATCACTTACAATTTTCTCAGCAACAATAGCAGCCTCTGGAGTGAGATATTGATCCTTTTTAATCCTCGCCGCCTTCCATTTTTCTTGGCGAGAAGGACGGTCGATAGGTGGAATGACTCCAGTAGGATCTGAAGCAGCAGCCATTTCTGCACTCTTTTGCCGCTCCTCCATCATGATTCTTTCCAACCCACCATACCCTACACGAGACATGGTATGTGGGTATACATTCAGCTCAGATATTTGCTTGTTCTTCCTACTTAGTGCCTATGACAATAAAAACTTAACAAAGTTAGTTTAGTTAAATATAATATAAATTGATAAAAAACTAAGTTTGAAGAAACCAAACCTGAAATGCAGGGTCTTGACGTTGCTGCACAAACCTCTCCCATGCCTCGTCACTAATAAAAGAGTATCGTTCTTGAGGATGCTCGCCCGTTCTTTTTCCATGAAGATACTCTCTTGTAAGCATGGATTTAAAATCCCTCCACCGGTCATCGAGTTGCTTATACAAACGGTCTCTCATTTCTTCAGTTGCGGGAATATCAAATGTCAGCCGCAATATAATACAATAGAGTTATAAGCAAATAATCAATTATAATTAATACTAATAAATTAAGAAAAGAATTTGTAACGTACCAAAATATCCTCCCATATTTTTTGTTTTAAGTTTTTATCTACCATCTTCCAATTAGGAATGTCAATCCCAACCTTACTGCGTGCGAGATAGCCCACGTAACTAGTAAATTTAGCCCCTTCAGGACCTATAGGTTTCAAATAAGCGTCAAAGTGTACTACAATCCTCGGGGGCTGTGTGTTCTCATCACGCAAGGCCAACTTCTTCATACGGGTTGGCCTTCTACCTCTTTTCGCTCTATGGAAGGAGTTGTCATCTCCAGAACCCTATTGATTAGATCCATCCATTTCCTGTTCAACAAACAAGCAATAAATATTAGAATAAGTCCCGTATAAAACATCAAGTATATTTAAAAAAAAAATCACAAATTTTAGGTCTTACAACGATTATCCTCCCAAATTCCTTCACAATGATCATCCCTAACTGCATAGTCATCATCTACCAAATCTAATTCAGTAATTTTAGGTCGAGTAACTGTGAAAGGCGGGATTTCGTCAAGATTGACCTCTAAGTCACCGTCATCTCCACCAACTCCTTGCCTCTTACCTTGGAGCACAATAGATAATTTCTTTTTTGCTATATCGGTAACATAAAACACTTGTTTTGCTTGATTTGTCAAAATAAATGGCTCATCTCCATATCCAATCCTCTCAAGATCGACTGAAACAAAACCAAATTCTTTATCAACTTGCACAGCACTATTATTAACCCACTTACATTTGAAGACGGGAACTTTAAATTTGGTATATGTAAAATCCCTTAACCTTAAACATCATAACCCGACATAAAACCACTACTATGGTAGAAAAGGAAAGCTGTTAAAATGAGCTACCATAGTAGAAGGAAGATTTCATATTTTTGGAAATTGACTTTCAAACTCGGGTCAACCAAAATAATCCGTTGCATGCAACTAAAATCATTCATTTACATCTACTGGGCCTCCGAGCCTCCGGCCCGGGTAACAACAGACATCACATTAGCCCATCTACGTGATTCCCAACAAAATAATCCAGAGTTCATAAAACACTAGCAATGGCCTCCGGCCAACCAAAATAAGGAGATACATGCTCTCCAGTTTACAACAAGGCCGGGTAATCAAATATTTCAAAAAGCAGTCCTAGATGTGGCAATATATACTAGCCATACATGTACAAATGCTAGAGGCCTAAAGCTAATCGAGCTCAAGCCTCTGCGTCTCTTCCCGATGGCCCACGCCCGGAACCTTCACCTGAAAACATTGTAAACCACGGGGTGAGATGGAGTCCCAGTAACCAACCTTTTCAATACTAGGTACTACTAAATAGGTGCTCATGAGGTGTCAAGTGGGGGCAGTTCACAATTAATATAATAACAAGGTAGCCACAACAATTCGTGCTAGTGAAGTGATGCAATCCCCATCAACCATATCCCTCACTTTGGGGGATTTTCAAGAGCCGAACCCGGCCTATCCCTCACTATGGGGGAC